TCCTAGATGAAGCTTCATGTGTCAGAACTTTCAGCTTGTTCAATTGTGTCGTCGGGCTGTCCGTCCGTCGCCGACAGGAGAAAGTCAAGGCAGATGAGGTTCGCTGGAGTCCCGGTGTAAGTCTGGATCTAGACGAACAGCTTGTCGGTGAGTGGGTTGGCTGAGTTTGCTGCTTGCACGACTCCCCCCCAAAAGCTTTCCTCAGAAAGAACAGATGCATGATGGGATCTTCGTCCACGCCTCCTTGGCATCTGCAAGTCGGCAAGCTTCGTTTTTCCGTACACGCAAGCGACGTCCGCGACAGCTTCTTCCGTACGCTCTGCTTCGATATTCCCACTGTTCGCCAGTCCGAGGTGTTTGCGGTGAGGTCTTGGATCTCTTCCACGGTGGCGTGATGCTGCTCGATGAGGCTGAGTGGGAGGATCGGAACGATCCAGCACACCGACAGAGTGTCATGGCCGTCGTTGCTGTCTCGTAGGGCGAGAGTGGCAAGAGGGGATGTGGCACAGAACGACGTGCATCAGGTCGACATGCTTCTGGATCCTCTGCGCAGTGAGCTCAACTGGCCGCCTCTTGGCTTAAGACATGCCAAAGCTTATTCCGCTGGTTCGCCGGTGCGCGCTGCATGTTGTGCTGCCCAAAGCCGCCCCACGACCAGCCCTTCACGAATGACGAATGCATTGCATCCGCGAAGGCTGGGCCGACGGCTACCCCTGGACATGACGGGTAAGCAGCCCAGCGTTCAGTGGATTCTTGGAGCGAAAGAGCTCCGGGCTCGCATGCCTAGACTCCGCTGCCGAAGCTTATGTAATTGTAACATGACCGTGCAACAGCCCTGCACTTGAAGCATGCCGCCAGCTTCATGCCCTCAGCACCTGCAGTCGTGCAGAACCTGGAAAAACGACGAGGCAACTTCAGTGACAACACATTCCTAGGATAGCACAGTTATTGAGGCCAATCCGTGCGAGGAAGGCACGGGCCCAAGGGCATTCAGTGGCTACTACTGAGCACAGTCATGCTGACCGGCGGTTCTTGGCAATGTTGTCAGATGCAAACCATGCGAAGGATTGGGTGTTTAAGTGCCAAAGTTCTGCACTCGATACTCAGACACAAAGCACGCAAGCTACTGCCAGATCCTGCCAGACCTTAACATGGTTTTGGTTGGTTCTTGGCATGACAGCAGTGTAATCCTTGCGTTGCTGTAAGATCCGTATGCCAAACCAAGTGCAAGGGCTGCCATTGAAGCCGTGTCTCGGAGCGCCTTGTCAGGAATGGATGCCGCTACACTCTGCCGTTTGACCTGCTCGATGCGGTCTTCGCAGCGGCCGGGGGCGTTCTGGGGAATTCACGTAGGACGGCAAAAGGAATTGTGATGGATAACAGAAATGCCAAGCATCGTCAACCTAGTCCGTGAAGGCATCAACTTTAAGCACTGCGCGTGCGCAAAGACTTGAGCCCGGAGCAAAAATACCCTTGCGGTGTCCTGAGAAGTTGCGCTAGAATTCGATGCACAGATGGCAGATAACCGGGTCTTGCTCATCCTGGCTTGAACCTGTGGTCTCGTGGCGTCGGTGGTTGGCGTTTCATAATCATGAGTGGGGGGTGGCCGCAGGCCACATGGAAGCAGACTTGACCTGCCTGGTGGATCATGCAAGCTTCCACAGGCCACGGGCTGTGCGGAGAGCACACCATCGACGAGCACTGCACCCGGCGGACATGCCTCACTCGCATTTGTGCACTGTAGCTTCTGTCGAATGGAGATGCCCATAAATTAACAGTGCTTCCAACTCAGGGAAGTATTGAGACTGAAGCACTGCAAGAGCGACAACACAGGGAGAGATGCGCAAGTTGCCCTGGGGGTCGGGACCTCAAGAGGTTCGTCTGCCCGGTTCTCATCTCCTCAGCTGCATTTGCAATCTGGAGAGGTGTGTGAGGCAACATATCAACTTCATTCATCCGTGTAGACCTTGGAGGCCCCGTGCCGTTCGGACTTCTCTGAAATTTGTTTTGCAAGTAGTCTTTAGCTTGAGTGTCATTGAATGCTTTTTGATTTGTGCAGAACATGAATGGAGGTCGAGTATTACCCAAAATTCCATTGAAACACGGCCAGCAAAGCCATGAGGCCCTGGCACAGAAAGTCAAGCAGGGCCGGAAGTCCCTCAGCGTGCAGGCTCGAAGAAACTTGGTCCTGGGCTTCTCGGGCACTTGGAGACAGTTTTCGTTTCAGACGCAATGCTTTAGGGTTGAGGATCGATCGCTTCGTACCCGCCACTCTCCCACAATGGCTTGCATAAATGCCGAAAGTATTTCTGTAGCCTTTGCGGCTGCGGCTCGGGAAGCCTCAGAATGAATGAAGACCCCTGACAAGTGCTACTGGTACTTACATTTGACGTGTTTCGTGGGCCCAACTCAATTGACTGAGCCATTTGGTAAGGCAGTGCTTACACTACTTAATGAAGCCCAAGTCTCTGAGCGAGCGCAGCGACTGGTACTGCGATATAAAATAAGCTTCCTTTCAGTGGTCTGGTAGCTTGAACAGTATCCGTGGCCATCCTGCGCAGTACTCGCACATTTGTGTTGTTCAATTCGCATCTGCCGAAGCAGCAGTAAGTATCGAGCAATAGGTGCGCTAGGGTGGTGCGCACAGCCGGATACAGCTGGTGTAAAAACACCAGACAGATATGTAGACCGACAGACATGCATACAGACACACACACACACACGCACACAGAGACACACATGCACCCACATGTACATTGACATATGTGTGTATGCAGTCGCGAGACTCGCCATGCGGGAGCCAAAAAATGTACACACATGTTCATACATATATATATATATATACACACATATATATATATATATACATACACCTATATAAAGAGAATGTAGGCATGGCATGCAGACCTGTACGTACATACACCTACAGAGCAGGACGGACCTGCATACAGGTGGTGTTGCATCGCATGACACTTCACGCACACACGCGCACGCTGGCACAGAATGTTTGAAAATGCCACATGGGTATGCAATTATGTTTCATACATCATTGAAACATGCACCGGGAAAGGCTGAGCGAAAGGCAAGCCGGAGTCTGTGGTGCCCCGCATGTTCGAGAGAATCTGAACACGTGATAGGTGTTATCCTTGACAGGTGCCTTTCCCGCAGCCCTGTCGCCCAGCCAGGGTGGATTGTAGAGCAAAGTGGTTCCAACTGCTAAGATGCCATTTGGCAGGTGGCTCCGCACTTTGTCCTTCTGTCACGAGACTTTTACCTGAAGGCCCGGGGGACTTGACGGTGATGTTGTTGCAGTCGCGGTAGTAAAGATGTCTACGCTAGCATACATTAGGTAGACGTTGCCCACGTCCGTCCATCTTGGACTGAGCCCGTTCCGGTAGTTTCCGTACCCAGTTTCCAGGACAGTCGCACGTGTATGCAATTCCTGCTGCTTGACTTCGCAGGTTTTTTTGAGGGGCGTCACCGTGTTATGCCGTGTTACATGTGGGGCAAGTCACTTCAGGAAATGCTGCCCCACTTGGCTGCAGGAGCCTCGGTCATGTGCTTCGGAGGCTTGAGCTGTCACTGCGGCCTGGATTTTCCAGCGGCTGCCAAGGATTGGGCGGCCCTCTTCGTTGACGAGCACCTGGAGGTTCTTTCTCCGCAACATGTGGGCAAGAGGTTCCTACCAGTTGAAACGAATTGCAGTGGGCAGCTCAGCTCTAAGTGTAGAGTTTTGGAAGTCGGGATGATGTTGGACAAGGTTTTGTGTGGTGATACCTCAGAAAAGACGGTGGACTGTCAGCTCCAAGGGTTAGACTTGGCGGGCGGATGCAATTGAAGCGCATCCAGGATCCATGTCAGTTGCTACCAGGTGCCTGAGAAGTAGTTAGGCGGCAGAGTTGATGCAACGTCAAGGTGTGCCTTACAAGGCTGCCTTTGCAAGTCCAAGCTGAGCGCACCAAAGCCTTGCATCACCCACTGTTTCAGGGTTCGCTCCTGCTTCCGGACCTCCGCACCCTTCTACGTCAGGGCCGCATGGGCCCCACTTTTCTGGTCTGGGACAGATGCAAGTGCATGCGGGAAGCTTGAGCGAAGGAGCACGGGCAGCGAGGCGATCCTGCGTTTTGGCTGCGGACGTTCCCGCCCCCCTAGAACCAGAAGAGATGAATCGGCGATTCTTCGCGTCCAGTTTCCATGTGCCAAGGCCCGGAGCTCCACTTCCACGAGGTCCTGCTCAACATGTCTTTGCCGGGGCCCAGGGTCACAAATCATGTTGATCTACTCTTGCTCGCCCTGTTTTGATTTCCACATGATTTGGACGGACTGCTCCGGAAAGTCTTGGGCGTGAGAGTCGGGCTCACAAGTGGCAGACCGGGACGTGTCCAGGCACGGACGGAAGGTCCTCAACCTGGCTCTCTCGTGGCTGCATGAGCTGCTGTCGGAAGCTCGGCGCCTTGTGAAGACTCTGTGGTATATTGCTGTACGGAAGTTGATGGTAAAGGCTTGATGGTGTGACGTTCAACTGTAAGCTCACGATGTCAGCAATGCTTTGCATGAGATTGGTAGGCATGAACAGAAGCCTGGCACGCGAGCCACAGGAATGACAAAGGAGCAATCAGCAGAGACATGGCACAGACCCAGAGCGTGAATTTGCGGGTCAACCAAGCCTTCACGGCCCCAATTCGGCAGTCGAGGCCTTACTTGCTGAGCAAGATCCACAGGGTCACTTACGGCCTTCTGCGGCTCGGCACGTACCTGCAGTGCCTCTGAGCGGACCTGCTCTCCATCATGGCAAGTCCATATGGCTTCTGGGATGTACGACAGTCGAAGTCTCCATGTCTCTGATTTTGTCTGCACTATGCTAGGCTAGGCGGCTAGGCCTACACGAAAGCGAGATGCGAGCTTTGCCTAAGACAGATAAAGGGTGACGGAATTCGTTCAGCAATGTTCAGGACAGCTTCATGTTATATTTCTGCTGTTGAAGGTGTATGGATGCGAGGATGGAGCACGTCCCAGCACGTCAGACGATTGACAATGTCCTGACAAAGCTATGAAGCAACACGTATGTCTACCCGTCTATCCATCTAGAAGAATGAAGTAGACATGGATAGCTAAACACGCACAGGTATCACAGGTATTATCAGATATTTCTACATGCATATGTCTAGAGAGAAAGAGAGACACAGCAACATATATAGATATGTGTTCAGGTTTTGAGGGAGGGAGAGAGAGAGAGAGAGAGAGAGAGAGAGAGAGAGAGAGACAGAGAGAGAAACAGAGAGAGAGAGAGAGAGAGAGAGAGAGATAGTAGCCATTTTGGCTCAAGCCGTGAGCGGTTCGAGCCCCGAGCCCAGTGTGAGAGAGGGGAGTAAACCAGGGGTGCTTGCGAAGTGGGAGTGTGTCATACAGAAGAGACTGAGCCATCTTTGCCAACGTAACGGTCGCAGTACTACGCTTCTTCTCCTTCCAAGTTGCTGCGGGGGAACTGGTTGCGATCGATCCTGCACGGTGGCCTTGCCCTGTACCTTCGGGAGTATCTCAAACCTCCAGCACCGGGCAATCGGCGACCCTCCGTGGGCGGGGGACTTTGAACCCAAGTCGATCTGCTACCTGACCGCTGGACGAAGGACATCAACGCGTACCAGATCGTGAAAATGGCAGGAACGGCGAGATTGGCAACTTCACCTACAAATGGAGAGACTGGGGGAGGCGGCCGAAAAAGGCCTGCCCAAACAGGCGAGGACGACGACGAAGGCGGGGACCGCCCCCTGACCCTCAACACCCTCCTTGCCGCCTTAAAGGAGAACCGTGAAGAGATCGTTGCACAAGTCCGAGAAGACATGGACAGCCTTGCAAACCGAGTGACGACAGTCGAGCAACAGGTCGACACCCATGTCGGCAACACCACCAAGCTGCTGGAAGCAATGACGGACAGGCACTGCGCCATGGAACACAGCGTGCGACAAGTCGATAGCAGGCAGGGGGAAATCTTGCAACGGCTCGACCTCCTCGAGGGCAAGTTTGCCAAAGCGAATTTTTCCCTTTCCAGCACAAGGACTTCGGACAGTGACGGGGGGAATCCCCGACCAGCACTTGTAGTCGGGGGATGGAGCGCAGACCAGCACCATGAGGAGACGCTGCAGCTTGTAAAACAACACCTCCAGGAGCTGGAGGTAAAGCTCGACTTGGACAAAGCCTTTGTCCCTGGTCTCCGTCGAGGTTTTGCCCTCATTCCCCTCACCAAGATGGAGGGGGAGACCGACGAGGACCAACGGGCCCGTGTTCAGGACATTCTCCGCACAGTACGAGCAGCAAAAATTATTACAGGCCAGCGACCTGAAGGGGGGAACCGCTACTTCTTCGCTGCCCTCAGCCAGAGTCCTGAGAGACGAAAGCGAGCACAACTCGCGGGGAAAGTCAAACGACTTATCATCGAAGAAGGCGGCGACGTGAGGAAGATAGACGTTGAGTATGGGACAGCCAACCTTTGGTACAACAGTGTGAAGATCTCTTCGGGGGTCACCTCGGCACCGGATGGAGCGACTACAGAAAAGGCCGGCTGGGTGCACTTGGGCACCCTCGCCCGCCAGATTGGCATCGCTGAGGAGACCGCCTCTGCGCGATGGGACGAGCTCCGAAAGGCCCTCAATTGAAGGGGGAGAAAAGTGCGGGCGTCCCTTTTGGACACGGACCCGCAGAGCCGCTTGCACGTCGTGAGCTGGAATGTCGGGGGACTCACTTCTGCTAATGCACTTGAGGTCCTCATGGCACTCCGGAAGCACCGAATTCAGCCCTTTCATGCATCCTTCGTCGTGCTTATGCAAGAGATCATTTGCGAGGCGGGGAAGCATCACAGCACCCTGGATGACCTGCAGATGATCTTCGGCAAACGTCCCGAAGACTGGCGGGGGAACGCCGTTGTGCACACCGCCAACCTGCAGCACACCCGGGGAAAGATCTTGCCTGGTGCTATATCATGTGTCTTATCTTCCTTTTCTTCGGATTTAAGGTTTGGAGCATTTTCTATACACATCCCCCACCACGCCACACTCTCCACCACAGAACAAATCCTACAAGCACTCCACGAACACACTGCCCCATCGGGGAAAGCAGTCATTGGCATCGATGCAAATGAGACCTTTAGCATGGCAAGCCAATCCCGACAAATCAAAGCCGCCACAGCAAGAGGAGAATTACTTCTGGACTGGTTTGAACAGGAACAGTTCCACATGCCTCAACAAGAGCTACACAAAGCAAGCCACTTTCCATATAATACAGAGTTCTTGCCTAGACGACTGGACTACGTGATGGCTAAGCGACTCCTATGCGATACCGGGGACGTCCTTGCACACCGGGACATAGCAACATCTGATCATGAGCCAGTTGCAGTACCACTCACTCAGTTGCATCTGGAGGACAAAACCTCGAAAACTCCAGCGAGCTGGTCAGCTAGACAACTGCGAGCCGGGGAAACCGTCGACCTGATCCTGGATGCAGAGGCCAGCATCGGGGGAGACCCCGTAGCGCGACTCCAGCAGGTGGCTGTGGCCATCACCAAACCGGGGAAGAAAAGGGTCCCCTTTGTCGAGAGTGCCGCTCTGAGAGAAGTTCGACGACAGGCTATGACAGCAACACCGGGGGACGTCCGGAAGCAGCTCTGGAAACAAGCCCGGAAAATGCACCAAGCTGAGCACAAGAAATGGCGCCACCTTGCAATGCAGAAAGTCGCTGAGATGGACTGGGGCATGAAGAAGGCACTGGTGGAACAGTCCCGAGACCATTCCTGGGAGCTCGGACTTACAGATGCCGACAACTGGCGGCAGACCCTCCGCGAGCACTTCGAGAAAATCTTCCACAAGCAGAAGGGGGAAATCGTTGCAGCACGAGTCCAAGAGGTCTTCGACAAACTGACAAGAGCGTGCAAGGTGACACCATGGGTACCTTTCACGATGGAAGACCTCCAGGCCATCAAGGAGAAGTGGAAAAATGGAAAGTCTTGCGGCCCCGACATGGTCTCATACGAAGCTCTGAAAGCTATCCTCCCGCACCCCGTCTGGGGGGGAAGACTCTTAGCAGTCTTCAACGATATGCTTTACACTGCACGGATCGTGCCAAGCCTGGAAGCCGGAGCGACCATCCTTCTGGCAAAGACCGCCCAGCCCTCCAACTGGGGGGAAACCAGACCTATAACTTTAAGCTCCGTGATGCTTCGCACCTTTGGCCAACTACTACTGAGTCGTGCGGGGGACGCCATCCAGGAGCCCGCCCGCCTGCAGTGGTGTCGACGAGGAAGGCAGGGGATCGAGCTGATCATGATCCTGCGCCGCCTAGCCAGAGTGGCAAAAGATTGGGGGATGGAGTTCTACATTGCGAAATTGGATATCCGTAAGGCTTTCGACTCCATCTTTCAAGAAAGTCTTGCAGACCACGTCGGCGTGGTAGTAGGGGAAAGAGCCAAGCTCCCCTGGGAAGCTCGTGCATGGGTGGCGGTGCTCCACGCACAACAACTTTCGATCGAAGTGGCGGGGGAAAGCATCGCTATCCCACAAAGCAATGGTGTTCGCCAAGGAGCACCTGAAAGCCCCGTGGCATTCGGTGCAGTCGTGGCAGAAGACCTTGATGCAGCTATCAAGACCGCACAGAGTTCGAAGCCGACCGGGGTGGACTCCCCGCCCGAGGACGGCGGCAGCTACATGGACGATAACTACATTTGGTCTACAAGCCAATGCCACCTTCAACATATGCTCCGATGTCTACACGACAAACTACCTCGACGAGGACTATTCCTCCACCCCGACAAGACAGATATCATCAGCACCTCGGAAAAACCCACCAATTTCGAGGTAGCCGGGGAAACCATTGCAACGAAGGGGCCGACCCACGCCTTCTACGTCCTGGGAAGTCCGCTCTCCTTTCAGGGGGGAACAGCAATGCTCCTTGCGGAGGCACAGAGCAGGGCACGAAAGGCCTTTTGGTCACACAGAGAAAGCTTCACGTCGGATGCGAGCTTCCGACAGAAGCTGAAGCTCCACGTTATCCTGGTCCGCCAAAGCGCCCTCTGGGCCTGCCAGACGTGGCCCTGCCTCAGCAGCTTGCTGCGGGGAGTAAACGTCATTCAGCTCTCCCATATTCGCACCATGCTGGGACTGCGAAGACAGCCACTAGAAGAATGGGCGACGTGGAACAAACGCAGTCTCAGAAGAAGCCGCCTTGCCCTCTACCATCACGGGGGAACGAGATGGTCAACCTTTGTGCTCTCGCAGATCTGGACGGCAGTCGGCCACATCTGCCGCGGAGACCCAATCGGGGGGAAGATCTTCCAGTGGCACAGCCTCCAATGGTGGCAAGAACAAAAAGACCGGGGGATCAACCTCCAGCATGCACAGCGATTCAATGCATACATGGACATCGACCGGCAGCTGAGCGAGACAGTCGGCAAGGGATGGTTCGCCATCGCTCAGGACCGGGAAGCCTGGGCTTTACATGAAGCAACCTTCATTTCCCAGCATGATGTCCCCTGGAGCAGTGGCAAACAGGGAAGCTTGGGGAACCTTGCCCCACCTCAACCCGAGAGCCAAGAGCGAGAGTTCCTACACAGCATCACCGACGCAGCAACAGTCAGAGCAAAACGGCGAAAGACAGCCGCCAATCCAAAAGCCACAGCCACACACAAACACCGACGAACTCGGAAGTAACAACATGAGATTGCACTTTTAGACTGAACAAGCGACAGCTCGACATCACACTTGCAACCTCGTGGATGATCTGCTCAGTGCATGTGAGAACGACGAGTGGGTGTGATGATCGCGCCATGCATACATTCAGAAAATGCACCGCTGATTGCTTTCCTTTCTACTCAAACATGCTCTTTGTGAACATGACATTGCAACGACTCCACACTCAATCCGATATATATATTTTTGAGATTTCGGCGTAAGCCAATCGCTGCTTGCTAGCACCAGCAAAGCAACACAGCAACAAGACTCGACCAGCGACATGACGATGCTACGCATCCTACTCGCAACACTGACCTTGTGGGGAACACCCCCAAGCAGCGCCCAACCCCCGGGGAACCCGCCTCCCTCCGAGGGTCCAACCAGCAGGACCGCGGCTGACACTCCACCACCGACCGGGGGGAGCAACAACACCGGGGGGACCCCCCCCTTGAGCCAAGCCCCGTGGCACGCCCAGCACTGGGCACCCGAGCAGCAGCCGGCGCAGGTGGCATGGACGGCAACGCACTTAACGCCAACCGGCTACGTGACTTCGTGGGGTGGCTGGAGTACCCACTTCTCCCAGCAAACAGGCCAGCCACAGCCTCCCCCACCAACCCAACTGCCGACCTACTTTCCCCCCCCGGCATACCAAATCAGCCCACAGGCCTGTCCACCCAATCCAAATCACCCACGTGGACCAGCAGGCCAAACACACCAACAACAACCACAGCCAGCGCAAACAGCAACACCCGTGCAACAACCGGCAGTTGCACACTCAGCAGCGGGGAACCCCCAACCAACAGCTTCTGGCCAGACCCACTTTCGCACTAACGACAAATACCCGCCAGCTTACGACTGGGACTACGACCCCTGGAACAACCCCGAGGACGACCCTCCAGCACCACATACACCACAGCATCCAGCCCAGGCCGACACAGGGGGCCAGACAAATCCCTCCACCCCAAGACGTCCTCAGACCGTGCCCAAGCCAAGCACAGAAGCACCAGAAGCCACCCAACCAACAGCAGAACAAGATGCAGTGGACGCCTCCTGCAGCCAACCACCTCCACCACTACAACACACACCTCCACGCCCGGACCTTCCACCCAGAAGCCGGGGAACACAACCACCTCCAGATTTCATCCAACCACGACCACCACGCGACTTCACCACACCACACGTGTCTACAGACACACACGACGAGGACACTCCAGCAGAAAGCACCGGCTCCAGTCAGCCTCAAACTACACACAACATCCCTCCGTGGGAAAGACCGGGATGGGGAGCACCTATCCCCGGAAGCCGCAAAGGACATACACGCAGCGCGGGGCATGGCTCACAAAGAGTCGGCAACAAACAAGGGAAGCATACATTCAAGCAACGGCAGTGGTCCGGGGAGAACATCACAAGACCTGACCCACAGCCCCAAGGTGGCCCCGGCTGGGGGATCTTAGCAGACCGTGCAAGACAAGCAGCTAGCGCAGGCCAAACAGACGCAACACAAACCCGGGGGACCAAAGCCGACACAGCTGCGGAAGCGAGATTCCAGGAGGCCATGGACAAGTTCCTCGGGCGAACCCGTGCCACCACCAACGACGTGCCACCGGCACACCCAGCCTCGGGGGAACCACGACCAAGCACGGCAACCGATCCCAAGGCCGACACGGCCCACACCCACGTCACCCCAGAAGACGAGCCACCAACACACTCAGCCTCGGGGGAACCACAACCAAGTACAGCAACCGGTCCCGAGGCTGACACAGCCCGACCCCGCCATGTCTACACCGAGCTGGAACAATGGCAATACGACAACGCCCCCCAAGGACCGGACGACCTCGAACCACCACCCAGCATCCCACATGCAGAAGGCACGACCGTCACTTACAACCAACTCACACACGGTTGTTGGGAATTGGTCATCAGTGCCGAGCACTACA